TGCCATAATCTTTTTTCCAGTGATGGCACCCTCTCTGTGCAAAGCCCCAAACCCTTAGATGAACTGTTCTTTATTTATATCCTATATCCCTTTATAATATGGGGATGTGATATCCCTACATTCACCCCTTCCATCAATATTATACTGAATTCGGACATGGAAGACTCCAGTGCATCTACGTTAGTCCTTCCTAGCTGGTAATGTATGCTAAGTTCATCTCCAATACTTATCTCTTACTAATAGCATTCAACTTCATTCTTGTCAAAATATATATCAATGGAGTGTTCTCCATCCATATGTGGACTTGAGTCCCATACACATGATCCCAGAATATGTCCGTGATGGCTCACTTCAAATTCAAGAACCTTAAATTGTGGATAAAATAATAAGTTTCATTGTAAATAAGTGAGTCTGGCAAATGTAGTAGGCTTTGGGTGGTTGTCATTCCTGAGTCAGATATCTCTAGGCTGGCATCAACTTGTAATAAATAGGTTGTGTTTGTATCTGAAAATGTCAGCACTTGTGCGTATGTGAGACACCTGATTAAGACCTTAAAGGCATGCTTCCTCCTTTCCTCCCAAGAAATTCCGAATGTGACCAGAGAGTTCTTCCCTTTTTTTAATCTTCTGCTTTGAGTTCTTCTCAACCACAGCCCACATCATCAAGAGGCTTTATAATTTTGACTTCTTTCTTTATAAATTTCCAATCATAGCCACCAAATCTTTGACTCTAGATAATTCTTCTGATCCAGACAGGTGATTGATACTCCTGCCTCCTCATGGTCAGCACTGCATTCAGGCTATAACAGAACAGTTCTGGATTTCTCTCTCACGTGTACCCAGAGCACAAAGGAACTAGAGGTGGAAAGTATCAGAGGCTCTCTGTTCCAACACCCTCATTTTAGACGTGAGGACACTGAGACCTAAGAAGGTTAAGTGTCTTACCCACAGTTGCAGCAAAAATACAGTGTGATCCCTTTGGGTGCATTCTCTTGATGGTGTTCCTAAACTTTCCAACTTTGACCTCTGACCTCTGGTTCTGGACTTCCTTCCTCTCCAGAAGTGGCTCTGCATGTTTTCCAGCTTCCAGAAGGCTCTGCCCATGCTTCCTCACCCTGAATTCATTGATTTCGGCCAACCTCCCTCTTGGTCATGGCTTCCTGCTCGTGATGAGATTTCCTGGGACCAACATGAAATATTTCTTAATATTCTTTCTGTTGTTCTCCTTGACTGCTCATATCAACTAGAAGTAGTTAAGAGGCTGTTCTCTCTGCTGAACCAGCACTATACACAGAAGCATAGTGTCCCATCATCTGCTGGCCCTGAGATCTGGGTCATCTCGGTGTGGTCCATACTATTGTTGGCCTTTTAATTGCTTTTCTGTGACGTAGCCTCTCTAAACTAAACGCAGAGTTGTAAGCCTTTCCCCCTCACATTCAGAGGTAACAAGGAACATCCCATACCTGTCCTCTACATTCTCAGCCCCACCAAACTAACTCTCCATCTCCCACAAACATTCAGGGGAAATGCATTTTCATGGTACGTACAAGATGGAAAGCAAGGCCCTTGAGGTTCCCCAGAATCCTCTTGGCTTCTCCACTTTGTTCAGTCAAGAAGCATTTATGAAGCCCTTACCATATGCCAAGCACTGTGCTCTGTCCATATTTCCTTGCTACCTTCATATATACTTGCATGTCCTCTCTGAGACTCAGTATTCCTTTCCAGGTAGGAACACACTCAGGGCATGCTGTCCTGAAACCTGGTAAACCTGATTTGACTGAATGGGTCATCTGCTGCTGTTGCTTCAGGCATTAAATCATTAGCTCCAGAAGAGAGTGTTTCTATACCGCTCTGACCCCACCTTCATTTTACGTTGTCCTCAGTGCTCTCCCTGAGAAGAATTTAAACTTACTCAGCAACTAATGATCCACAGTGGAAGACTTGACAACTGATTTCCAAGGGTCGTTTTTCCAGATATCTCTCTTTGAGTTTTGGAAGCTCCTACATTGTGGTTCTTTACCCTTTTTGTGTATGTCCTGGACCCCTTGAACATTCTGGTAAAGCCTGTGGGTCCTCTCAGTTGTGTGCTTGCATGCATAAAATAAAATACGTAGAATTAAAAAGGAAATCAAATATGACTTTTGAAATGTTAAAAAATGTTTTGAGGTAAAAATTTAAGAACACCTGCAAAAATATATATGCAATATATGCATATGTGTATGTATGTATGCATGTATTAAGGGCAGCTAGATTACATAGTGAATAGAGCACTGGCCCTAGAGTTAGGAGAAGCTGAGTTCAAATCTGGCCTCAGACACCTAATAGCTGTGTGACTGTAGGCAAGTCACTTAACCCTATTTGCCTCAGTTTCCTTATCTATCAAATGAGGTGGAGAAGGAAATGGCAAACCACTCCAGTATCTTTGCCAAGAAAACCCCAAATGGGGTCACACAGAGTCAAACAAGACTGAAAGGACTCAACAACAAAAGCCTTATATATTATAGTCACCTCATCATCTTCTTACCTATACTCTTTCCTCAGTATTTTACATGCCCTCAATGAGCTATAACATTGTAATGCAATGTGATTTCAATACTAAATTCATCTGAGACATATGTTTTTGGGCATGGCCAACATGGGAATTTGTTTTGCTTAACTATACATATTTGTTTTTAAAAAAAAAAAGGATTTTCTTTTCTTGTATTTTCTCTCAACAGGAACAGGTGGAGGGAGAGAAAATAAATGCATATTAATCAAAAAATACTGGATTCATCTCACTCGATAGGTCAGTCACTCAACTGGCATTTAAGTGCCTACCATGTCATTGCCAAGGGCATAATGCCATAACTGTGTACTGTTTCCCCAATAATTGAGTAGTTGTGTTGACTACTCACCCTACATATGAGAATCTAGTGTCACACCAGTGCCCAATTACCCAGTGTCATTTCAGCACAGTTATACAAGAATCACATTTTCCTAGATTGTTAGAAAGGTGTTTAGTGAATAAAATAGTGATAAACTATTAGCCTGGACTCACAAAAAAAAATTTAATTTAAAAAAAATAACTGAAGCCTAAACCCCAAATTTCAATATAGCTTAGAGTCACAAAAAAAAAAAAACCCCTACAAAATTACTGTTGTCACAGTAGCCTGAGTAGCTCAAGGCTACTCAGGTATAAGCAATTTATACTTCAGATCCATCGTTTATCCCAGATGAGTGCCCATGGTGTCATTCATGTGCCAGATGAAACCAGACTCTTAAAGACTTGGGTTTATGGAAAGAGGAAAGGAGGTGGGGGGAGAAGGATAACATGGTAATCTCTTTTCTTGGTGCACCACACTTTCATCTAGGTAGAGATCATCCACTTATGAAGTCAACTCAGGTCTAAATATTCAATTACTATTATGCTAGAAGAAACCCTGGCAAATAGCAGCCCAAAACCAGAATTTAAATGGAAACATAGAATAATGGAAATATTCTCAGCATCTATCCCTCAATTGAATACTCTCTCACTCCATCTCCCCTAACAGAGATAAGGAAGGAAGCTTTCCTACCTGAACACAGGAAAAAGCTGGGAAAAGTGATGGACTTAAGGTGTAGAATGAGGCATTAATTTTTGGACAAGGCCAATGGGGGGATTTGTTTTGCTTGACTATACATATTTGTTTTTCTTTTTTTCCTCATCAGTGGGTGAGAGGAATAGAAGTTAAGTCAACAAACATTTATTAAGTACCTACTACTATGTGTAAGGCATTGGGACACAAAGAAAGGTAAAAATAGTCCCTACCTTCAAGGAGCTTACAATTCAATGGGGAAATTACATCCAAGCAACTATGTACAAACTAGATAGACAAACAGATAGATAGATAGATAGATAGATAGATAGATAGATAGATAGATAGATAGATATGTATAAGATATAGATATAGACAGATAGATATAGATATAGGGATATAGATATAAATAGAAGATAAATTAGAGATTGAAAAAGAAAGAAAATAAATCCATGTTCATTGAAAAATAAAATTTAATCTCAAAATGAAAAAAAGCAGGACAATGCCTCCAAAGCCATGGAAATCCCTATACAGAGCCCAAATGCACTCACCCTGAGTCAGGTTTTAGTGGATCATTTGGTCATTGGATCTCTACTACCCACTGCTCATAACTCTATGCCATCATTCTTCCCCTTGACTACAGCTCATCACAGCTTCTACAGGGTATTTGTACACCCTGGCAGTTTTTGCAATAGTGTTGGCTAATCACTTCATTATCTTGGCTGACCGGGTACTCCTCTGGTCAGTTGGCCAGGTGAACTACATCCTCATGTCTTGAAAGAACTGATAGATGTGATTATAGAATCATTGTCAGCAATACATGAAAGATCATGGAAAATGGGAGGAGTACTACGAGATTGGAAAAGGACAAATATAATCCCAGTTTTCCAAAAAGGGAAGAAAAAAAAATCCACATTATAGACCAGTGAATTTGACTTTGATTCCTCAGAAAATTCTCTAAAACAACATCAAAAAGATGATTGGAAAATATCTAGAAAGAGAAGTGGTGATTATGAAGAGTCCACATGGCTTCATCAGGAACAGGTTGTGCTAAACTTACCTCATTTCCTTTTTTGATAGAATTACTGAACTAGGAATATAAGGGGAAGAGGATGCCAATTCTAGCAAAGCTTTTGAAAAAGTATATAATACTAATCTTGTGAAGAAGATGGAGAGAAGGGACCAAGATGAGAACGCGATCAGATAGGTTCAGAACTGGTTGGATGGCCAGACTCAAAGACCAGTTGTTTAATGATTCATTGTAAACATGGCAGGAGGTCTCCTGTGGAGCACCCCAGGGATCTACGCTTGGCTGTGTGCTATTTAACATTTTTATAAGTGGCTTGGATAATAGACATAGATTATATACTCATCAAATGAGATCATCAGATGACACAAAGTCAGGAAGGAGAGTCACAAGGGCATGATAGAACCAGTTCATATTGGCTCAAGAGAACCAATTATGAAAGTTTCAGTGTGACCATTTACACCTTGGAAATCAGCACATGGTCACACTGAAACTTTCATAATTGATTTATTGTTTTATTGATTGTCTAGATTTAATAAAATTATGAAGAAAGTGTGGATATTGCAGATAAAACTTAAAAGCGTATGGCATGTTCATTTTTCCAGAGAGCTGGTTGTAAAACATTTACTAGCACACTACTGGATAGCTAAAAAAATGAATGACAGTTAGGATTCAAAAGGATGTTATTAGGCTCACACATAGGGATGAACCTAATAAAATGAAATTCAATAGGGATAAAGGTAAAGTCTTATACTTGGGTACAAAAAAAATCTATTCCATCAATATAAGCTAAGGGATGGGAGGAGGAGAGTGGGAGACATGTATAGACAGCAATTCTGAAAAAGTACTTGTCATCTTATTGGACTATACATTCAATATGGGCAGACAGTGTGATATGATAGCCAAAAAATCTAGTGTGATCTTGAGCTTCATTAGGAGGAAATCAATTCCAGGAACATGAAGGTGGTAATTTCCCTGGTCTCTATTCTTGTCAGACTTCATCTGAAGTATTGTTCAGTTCTGGCCTGGATGGTGTCCGGAGAAGAAGAACCAGGATGGTGACCTTTAGTTTAGCCTGGAGAAAGATGAGAAGAATGGAACATGATAATTGTCTTCAAATATTTAAAGGGTTGTGATGGGAAGAGAAATTAGACTTGTTCTCTTTGTCTTCAGAGGCCCAAACCAGCAGAATTTGGGTGAAAGTTGCAAAGAAACAAATTTAGACTTGGTATCCAGAAAAATTTTCTAATGCTTAGGGCTGTCCCAAAGTTGAATAGACTGCTTCTAGAGCAGGGGTGGGGAACCCATGGCCTCAAGGCCACATGTGGTCTTCTAGGTCTTCGGGTGCAGCCTTTTGACTGAGTCCCCATGTTTTATAGAACAAATCCTTTTATTAAGGGGATTTGTTCTGTGAAGTTTGGATTCAGTCAGAGGGCCGCACTTGAGGACCTAGAGGGCCACATGTGGCCTCGAGGCTGCAGGTTCCCCAGCCCTGGAGATGGCTCATCAGATATGTTGTAGTGTGCATGCCTTTGTATATAGGTTGAATGCGATAGACCCTGAGGACCCTTCCAACTCTCAAATTCAGTGATTCTGTGATATCTGAGGCTCTGTTCATGGTCAACTTCATGACTAACGACCCGTTGCCATTGCTGATGTGTGGCTCAAATTCTCTTTTCTCCCACCTGTCCCTGTCACTCCTTGATGTGATCACCCTGAGTTCATATTCCAAATGTTTTAAGTTTGATATTTATTTCATCAAATATTTGGGTGTGTTTTATTTTTTCTCAACTGAGAATTTTCTCAATTTCTATCCTTCTTTCACATCTCTTCCTCTCCCCACCAAAAAAAGAAAAAGGAAAGGAAAGGAAACCCCCATATATCAAATATTTATAGTCACACAAACCAAATTCCTACATTGGCCATATCTAAAAATGGATGTGTCATTCTTCATATTGAGCCCATCATCTCTCTGCCAAGAGAGATGGTCCACTGGAATCATGGTTGGTCACTGAATTGAACATAGTTCTTAAGTCTTTCAGAGTTGTTCATTTTTAAATGTTTTTATTGTGTAAATTGTTCTCCTGGTCCTGCTCCCTTAGCCTGCATCAGTTCATATAAGTCATCCAGATTTCTCTGAAATAATACCTCTCCTCATTTCACAAAGTGCAATAATATTCCATTGCATTCACATGCCATAATTTGTTCATCCCTTCTCCAATTCTTTCCAGTTCTTTGCCACCACAAAAAGAGCTGCTATAAATATTTTTGTACATCTGAACCTTTTTTTCTCTTTCTTTGATGTCTTTTGGGTACTTTCAGATCACTTTAGTGTTTTGAATTAAGGTCTTATATTGCCTCAGGGGCACTAATAAAATAGAAATGCTTCGTGTCTTAATTGTATTGATGTCATGAATCTTAGTGAAGCATAAGGTACAACAACCAAGGACGTATGGGCTATACTTATTCTTTGCATGAAAAGAGGAGTCTCTGAAACCAGCCATGTAATCTTTTACATTATTACTGTATTATCTCTGATTGCAAAAAGCAGCAGGATTGCATTGGACCAGAATTTGATTGCAAGGCCTCTCTTGAAACTTAACTGTTGTTCAACTTATATTCTATCATTTTGCCAAATTCCATCCAAGAGGTGGCAGCATTTGGTGGAAAGAAAGAAAGAAAGGAAGAAAGAGAGAGACAGACAGACAGACAGACAGACAGAGAGACAGAGAGAGAGAGAGGAAGGAAGGAAGGAAGGAAGGAAGGAAGGAAGGAAGGAAGGAAGGAAGGAAGGAAGGAAGGAAGAGGAGAAGGAGAAAAAAGGAAGGAATGAAGGGGAATGAAAAGAAGACAGTAAAAAGAAAAGGCAAAGTGGGTTCTAAAAAAATAATTAGCAAAGTACATTAAGGATCTTTTTTAAAAGTAGGTTATTAATCAATAAATAATTTTAAAAATCACTTGAGGACATTTTCCATTTTGGTTTTCATGGCTGTGTCTGAGGTAGGAAGATTCATGGGGATAGATCAAGTTACCCCTTATTTAGCTCATGTTACCCAGTCACAATAATGCAATGTAGATACATAATGGGATGTGATAGGGATCAAAAATGGAAACTGTAATTTTGCCTCTACCTGGTTTCCTGCACTTGCTTCATGCATTCAGGTAAGGTGGCAGATACCCGATCTTAGAGTTTTCCAGACTAATTGCATAGGCATTGATCTTTTAATGGTGGAAGATGAGCTTAATTCATCCCCAAACCCTTCTAACTTAACAGCAGAAGAGGAGTTATTACTCCTTGCACTCACCATGGGCACTACATATTCTATTATTTATCATTTACATATTAATGAAAGTGTAGAAGAGTGAGCCTTCCAAAAGGGAAAATTAGCTTGCAAAGAATAGAAGACCACATGACTGAGGTGATAAGGAAGATCAGGGACTGGAGCTGCCATGAAGGATTTGGAGATTTGACATCACTGAAGGAACTTAAAAAGTGAGTTGGGGACGATTTGAGGAGAAGAGAGGAAGCACCAGTCAGAGCATGAGGTAGAGCTGGTTGAGAATGGCATCCATCATGAGAACATAGGAGTGTAAGGTGGTTGAATTGACCAGGGATCCGATAGAGAGCCAAACTCTGAAGATGCAGGAGAAAACATATGGATTCATTCCAAATGCTGGCCATCAATGCTCCCCAAGGACTTATGAAAGAATAAGATTTAAGAAATATTCTCCCTGGAACTGAAAACATTTCAAAAACCTACCTGGAATGTGGCTTCATTATCAATACAAGACACAAATACCTGTTCCTCTTGCGTTGACTGCCCTTCCTTTTCACATATGTTTATATTAAACACTCACAACTACATATCCACAGATCTCTCCTGTTTTATTGGGACTTTGGAGGGGGGGAGGCAGTAGAGAAGAGTCTTCTCCTGAGGCAAAGAACCCAGCTACCAAAGAAGCCAAGTCTCCCTTCAGTATTCATTTCAGGCATGGGAAATCAGGACAGTCTTGGCCCATTGAAGAAAAACCAGACAACAGGAAGGCGGAGATGAACAGTCACACTAAAGTATCCGAAGGGAGAGAAAAAAGCAGTGAGGAAGGCTTGACAGTTGGGAACATCCCCAGACTAACCTTCGAGGCTGAATATTCCCCTTTGCCGTGTTTGAAACATGAAGAAGAGCTGTTTTTCATTTGGGGAAATACAACCTAACAGAGGAATTTGTTTATTTTAAGACCAATGCCTGGGGAAGAAATATAAAGGGCAAAAATAACAGATACCAAAGGTTTTAACTACTTTGAAATGACTTGGAGCCAGTCACAACCTCTGTGGGTCTCAGTTTTCTCATCTGTAAAATGAGGGGGTGGAGCCAGATGACCTCCAAGGTCCTTCCCAAGTCTGAGTCTATGATTCTGTGACATTCTGCCCAGCTCCAGCTTTTAATCAGGTGCATCTAATTATGCTAAAGGAGCAGACTCTTGAAGGGATTTGTCTACTAGGGGCTTTGTTGCTTGGACTCAGGGCAGTTCAGCCTAGCCACTGCCTGATGCTTATAACCATTACATTTTCTTAATGGGAAATGTCAGTGTATAGATCTGTGGCCATTTTGCAACTTTGGCCAAACGATCCTCCCCAACACTTCTGTGATGAGTTTTCCGGGCCATGTTGGCCGTCTGAAGTTGCTGTCTGGTTCAGAACAGTAGCCACATCCTGATCTCCTGGGATATCATCTGGGTTTCATGTGATACTGCTCTTCATCTGGGGTTTATAGAGAACAGGGGTCTCGACCTTGGGGGCAGGAAAGAGCAAAGCCTTGTTAGGAATTGTCCAGGGAAAACTCTTGGGGAAAAGGAATGGTGTGGAGGAAAGGGAAATGGGAAGGATTGGGGGAATATAGACACTTCATTAAGTACCAGTGACTAATGGATCAGCTGGGTGTGGCCTTCAGACTGAGGTGAAATCATTTCCAACTCCACTGGATGTAGCAAGGAGAAAGGACAAAATATGTTAAAAATAAACTGTTAATATGACCAAATGAAAGTGGGTGCTCCAAGCCGGAGCACATCACAGACCTTAGGAAACACAGCTTTAAAAAGTACAAAAGGCCTTCAGTGTGAGGTAATGAGGCGCATCTAATTATATTTAAGAAAGAGCAGCGAGAACTCCTCAGGAACACAGAGCCCTCCCCTTTATTCTCTCCCAAACCAGTCAGAATTTGGGGCTGAGAGACACCGTTATTTCAGGGAAGGGTGAGGAATTTAGAGTGTATCACGGAAAACAAGGTTGTTATTTTCCCATAACTGGAAGAGAAAAAAAAAAATCACAAACCCTTCCCTGTCTGTTCTCTTTCCCCTCCCCAAAAACCTCTCATCAGGAAACAAGAAAAAAAAAAAGAAAAGAGAAAAAAAAAAAGAAAACCAAAGCAAACAAGCAGTACTACCGCCATGAGAAATCAAGGCAGTCAGAATGACATTTGACACCACCAGGCCACAGCTGAAGAACAAGGGAAAAGTTTTCGGACGACTGTCACTGACCCATAGTCCCTCACTCCTAACCTTGCTCTCCAACATATGTTTCTCATTTCCCTGCTTCTAGCTGGCCCAAGCTAATGATATGTGTTTTGGCAACCATCCCGTGCTTGGCATACAGCCTGCCTTGTTCTCATTGTCCCAGCTACTTACAGAAACCTCTTTCTCTGTCTCTTTCTCTCTCTCTTAGAAAACAGCTTTAAAGAACAGTAAATATGCAAAACGACCCATGCTCTATACAGCTACCATCTTGAATACTGTCCCCTCCACCCTAACACACCCCATCAATAAAGGCCTGAAGAGACTGCCCACGGGTGAGGGGTAAGTGAAATACAAAGGCAGTGGAAATTCAAACAAATTGGTCCATTAGAGTCTCGCACTGCTATAAATACTGTGGAACTTGGCTATTTTGAGGGACATGGCATGGGAAAGTTCGGCCTGAAATCTTGAATCTGTCAGAAGAGACAGATCTCCCGCTCAGACATGGGAAGAGGAACGGAGCTCGTAGCCTGCGGGAGGGAGAAGGGCATCAAATCTGGCAAATTC